ATGGGACATTTAAGTGTTGATGGTCATGAAGACCTTACGCATTAGGCAGTACCTGACACACACACACACAGAGGATAACACAATAAAAAAAGGAAAAGAAACTGAGAGATTTTTCCAAAAGCTGCAGAAGTGTTCGTCAGTGCCCTATAACAAAAATAACGCGGAGAATAATAATTTCCACAATAGCAGCTACTTGGACCCAAAGTCAGTTAATTAATATGCAAAGGCTAACATATTTCTGTGTTTTAGTGCTGGAATCTAGGACTTCAAAGCCAATCTAGTTGCTAGACTAGCCTTTTGGATTTAAAAGTATGTTCTGCTCTCCTTTATGGTTGATCTCAGAAAGATGTCGATGATCTAAAAGCTGGACAACGAAGCATGAGAAAAGTTCTAGGGTTCAACATCTATGGGCTCTAGATTGCTCTTTTGAATTTGATCACTCAAAGTACTCCTTCAAGACTCAAGAACACCTAGTTACTACTATACATTTGTATCTTCTTCCCAGATTACTCCAAATGAACTAGTTCACAGTTTATTAAAAAAATTCAGTAATGCATTCAAATTTGTAGACTTTCAAGTTTCAAATGTATAAAAAAAATAGCCAGCAAGAAGGTGTCATCCCACCAAATGGTCTGCTTTCCCTACCGTTCCACTATCTACTTCCTAATGAATTATTTTTCTCCCTGGCTGAAGAAAATAAAAACTAGTATATAACTGTTCTTGGTATTGCTATGCTCCAGTACCTTTGTAGATTCCTTGTATAAGTATGCCCTGAAAGCTTGAATGTTTCAGCCTCCAATTTTTTGGCCACATTGCACAAGTATTAGTTTCCAAATTGAGGAATATTTTCCCTTTAACTACCAGACCTTTGACCACTTATTATCACATAAGATAAATCCTCAGACTTGACGACTGTTGATGGTTGGATGTGTAAGGGAAGAAAATATTTACTCAATACAATTATCTAAGCCATTAGGATGTGTCATCTCTGCAATGGGCTTGAGGAGTATCTCAGCCATTAGGATGTGGGAGTACAGAGATATCATCTCTTCAATGGGCTTGAGGAGTATCTCAGGAGAGTAGGCAATCCAAGACATTGCAATTGGTCATAGGGAAAGATTTTGGTGTAGCACACGTTAAGTCATTACAGGGTTATGACATGCAATTTGTGTTTCCACCACATGGATTGGTGTTGTAGGAAGATGGAGAATCAGGTGAAATGTTGTTTGTATAATTGAGTTTGACAAGTATCATTTCTTCAAGTTTCCTACAATATTGTCTGTAGAAGGTTTCTCTGGATCATGTGTCCTTTTCTTTTTCTATTCTTTTGGTTTTATTTTGATGGGTTTGTATGCTCCTCCACATCATGAACTTGTGCACTTATATACTAAAGGGAAGAAAATACTCTGGGACATGATGTCATTTGAATTAATGCAAGTTTACAATACTATTATTACCCATCAATATCATCCATGCATACCAAAAATGATCCATGCTACTAGTAGAAATGACCCGGTATTTTTTTCCCTACCTTAATAACTGGGATAGGGGAAATAATTTTGTTCTAATAGTAAAATCAATTAACACAACACTTAATTAATTCAAAAATATTTCTCAAAAATAGCTGCTGAATTCAACTGGGTGATGATCAGGTGCTCAAAAACAAAAGCAAAAGCAAATGGAATAATAATAGTACTTTGCTTGACACAAAAAGAAAAGCATAAAATGTGAAATATTAAAATAAGAGAATCATTTAGGGGTGTCCCAGTGCTGGGATCAAAGACTCCAAGACAAATCTAGTTGATAGGTTAGCTTTTCTTTTAGTGTTTCCCCCATTCAAACTGTCATCCCCATGTCCATGTCCACTTCCACTTCCTTCCCCAGTCTCTCTCCTAACAGGACCAAGTCCCCCAGGCCCCTACATTGTCACTGCACAACAGAAATACTTCAGTGACCAAAGATGCTACAGAAGTTTCATGCTCCAGGAGTTACATAGGTAAATAAACACTTTGAATGGGACAGTTCTAGATTATAAACAAAGGACGGTCTAGTGAATGAGACTCCTGCCATTGCTAGGGAGAATTCAAGAAAATTACGAGGTTAAATGAAGAATTTGACAAAAAAACCAAGCAACTCACTAGTTCGGTTTCTAATTATTGGCATGTTTTAATCAAGTATGTACTAACCAAAGACAAATTATTCATATCCATAATCTCTTTTCACATGTATCCCTAAACCTAGAATTTATAGAAAACTCATGATGTCATTGTTAGTTATACAGGGCCAAGACCTGCCCTTAGTCTTCCTAAAATCACAAGCCACAAAGTCAAGATGGTCACATGTCCACAGGACCCACTACTTAAGACAATCCTTAGTACACCTCACTGAACTACGCAGGTTATACGGCAGATAGAAACGGGATATACCATATGATGCTTCTCATTCTTTATCAACAACACAGCTTAGTGATCCAACACACACTGTTCGCACTTCCACGGAGTTTAATATAAGCTGAAGAGTATAATGACATATTTGATCGACTAAGGACCAAATGATCATCTGTCCTAAATGTAAAATCAGTTTCCCCTTCTTTTTTTAACTCCTTTCTCCTTCATTGGCCGGAGGCAAAGATCAAAATTTCTTTTCGAAATAGCTAAAACATTTCTATGGATCCTGAGTGTCAAGGTGTTTCAAAGAGAGAGTGTTTCGGAAAATATATTTCCAATTTTTTTTCTCCATTTCCATTCTACTACTGAAATGTTGATGAAACATTTCCCAAATATTTCCGTTTCAAGTGACCGGAACAATGTATTAAAATGAAGTTTTAATCCTTAGTTGAAGGTAAGAAAATTTTGAGCAGCCAAAGGCGGTAACCAGAAGACAAGTTCTAAAAAAGATGATATGTTCAGCAGGACCACCAATCTGATTCGCTGCTCACTTATTCTAAGCAGATCGTACCACTCAGTAGGGGCCGCTCTACAATAGGAACTAAAAGCCAGTATACAATATCTGATAACAATGCATACACATATGGAAATCTGATAGGGACTATAAAAAATTACCAAAACGGGAAGAGAAATTTCGACGCAGAGAATGGTCGTAAGATAGCTGTGTAAAATGACGGAAACACCCATATGGGAATAAACATCGTAGAAAGATTACTGAGGTTGATTGCATTGAGATAAGGATGTCCCTGTCCGTCTCTAATCAGAAAATTATAACCCAGTGTGGAGAATATGACAACAGTGCATGCAAGAGGAGTCACCTATAGGTCCTACCAATACACTTGCTAAAAATAGCTGTAAAACCACTTGGGGTAGTGTAAGGTTGGATGGTTCACCCCCACAACCTTCCCTTTAAATACTCTTTCCCTACCATGTGTTTCCTTACGCTCTTCTACTCCCCATTTTTTTCCTTTGGTTCCCACACAAACAACAGAGCTCTCTCTCTCTCTCTCTCTCTCTCTCTCTCTCTCTCTCTCTCT